CTTTCAAAGGAGAGGTGTTTATGTGATATGTGTTCTTTCCAACAATAGCAAAGAGTTGGGTGGACAGTGCTCATCTTCACTCAGTCTTTTCTCACCTCTCTGTTCAGCCTCAGAGGGGGAGTTTACAGGGCTGGCTCTCTCCCTTTCTAGCATCTTACAACACTCCTAAAACCCCTTTTTCTGTAAAGAAACAATGACTAGGAAAGGATGTGGGACAGGTGGAAAGCACAAGGGATGGAAGACAAAACATGCACTCCCCTTCTCACTTTTTTCTTCTGCTTTTAAAGCCATGGGATGTTGTGCAAAGCATAGGAGGGAGAAAACTGAGAACTGTTTGGGAACAACTTTTCCCTTTTGGAAACCTGTAATCCAGAAAATGCCTTCAGAGGGGCATTTCCTGCCCATCCAGGCTGCTCTCCTGGCAGGGGGGAGCCTGTCCCTTGGGATACCTTTGGTTGGTCTCTGTGACTTGCTTGTGACATCCAGGGCTGCCAAATATGAGTTGACTGAAGCAGGGACCGTGTCCTGTGTTTATTTTTGGGTGACAGACTTTGCATCCCTCTTTGGGGACAGCCCAGCGCCGCTCTTTCCGCTGCCCTTGTTAAATTATCAAATCGTGACCAAAGTCAGGTGCTGCCTTCTCCTGGTGAGGATGGAGCCCACTGGGACTATAATTACCTGCCTGCCTTCTAGGGATGAGCTGTCAGAAAGTTTCCCTTCCCCAAAATGTGCCCTCTTAACCTGTCACGAGGCACATGTCCTGACATGTATCCTGCATGCAGAGGAACAGGAGCAATGTTCTTTCATGTGTTCTCCCATCCAGGCAAGGGTATTTCCTGTCAACATAGACCAGACAAAGAGGGGAGTGCAGCAGGACCAGCTGTGAGGTTGAGTTGAGCGTGGATTGGGTCAGGAATTTGCTCTGGTGTTTGCTGGAGAGCTCACCACAGGTCCTGGAAGCTTAGTGAAGGCTCAGCTTCCACATCTTCCACTGGCTTTTGTGGGTGTGGAAATTCTTGTTCCCTTCCCGCCTCTGGTCACTCACCTGGGCGTGCTGGAGCTCCTGACTGAGCCCCAGCCCGAAGAGAAGCCCTGGGAACAGCCCTCTCCCTCCTTCCTCAGCCAGGAAAACGCTGCAGCCGCAGCAGGGAGGGTTGGTGCTGCTCCCTGGGCTGCAGGGTGTGAGTTTGGTGTTCTGTGACCTGGGAACACCACCTGGGCTGGGACCAAGCCCTGCAGGGGAATGAAGTCATGCCCTGAGGTCCTGTTGGGATGGAGGGATGGGAAGAGGATTGTATTTCTTCTGTGGATCTGCAATGTCGTGTCTGGGGATTATGAGGTCCCCAGGAAAGCTGCTCTGCTCCCCAACCTGCTCCCTCCAGGAAAAGAGATTTGGGCTTGCTGCTCAGTGCTTCATTTCTGCAAAAATGCCAGGATGCTGAGCTAAGACATCCCAAACCCTTGGAATAATTCTCACATTTTGCACAGGTGCCTTTGAGCCAGATGCGAGCTCTTCCCCGTCTCATCTCTCTCCAGCTCTGGATTTTGTACCGGTTTTCTTTCTAAGACTAAAAAACCCCGTGGGTGAAGGTTGTGCTTATTTATTTCTGGAATTACCTTGTCATTTCTGTACTCCCCCAGTGCAAGTGTCTCTCAGCCTGAGTTAGCAGCGCTGGTGGCACAAAAGCTGCATTTCAAGCGATGTCCCTGGCGTTGTATCCGAAACAGGAGAGAGGATAACGCGTCCAGGGGCATCCTTGCACACTCTTCCATGGTTTTCCTTGCTTTCAGCTTCTCCTCCTGCCCTGCACATGGAAGTGCACACTACCTGGTGGCTTTCAGAGGCCCTGCTCTCCTTCTGGAACCTTCCAGGCCTTTGGAATCCCGACCCAACTGCACACACCCAGCATTTGCCAGAATCTGCCGTGTTTATCAGAAGGATTTTGGTCCCTCTTCCACAGGGGCCCTAAAGCTGGAGTCTCTTGGGGCTTTGCCTCAACCCTTTGCGGTCACCAAGTCCTTCTAGTGATGGGATGGCTCTGGGTGTGCTGCTGCTCTGGTTTTCCAAGGAAACTCCTCTCGGTGACACGTGCAGGAGCTTTTTTCCAGCAAGGACTGAAGGAAACCAGAGCAAGCTGGTAATTAGCCCTGCTGGTTTGATTGGGTTTGATGACAATCCAGCATCTCCTACATGGGTCTGTCGTTTCTGGGCTTTCCCAGACTGGGGAGCTGAGTGAATGCAAACTTTGGCTGTTGGTTGGAGTGAAGGTTAAATCCTGCATTGCTGTGGTTGTGCCAGCACTCAGCTGGAGCCTGGCAGTGCCCAGGATCACGGCAAGGGGCACAGAGCCGAGCCCCTGGCCCATGGGGAGCTCTGTGTGTGACAGGCACAGAGCAGGAACCTTTAACCAAAACCCAGCAGCTCTTGCTGGCTTCACCTTCATTCAATGCTCATTGCTCAGGGAAAGTGCTCTCACCCCCTGGAAAAGGAGGAGCTGGGGGGTTGGACAGGAGAATTTAACTCGTGGAAGAACCAGCTGAGCTGCCTGCAAACAGCTGGACAGTGTGGATTTCCAAAAACAAAAGCAGGTGCTGTCCTTTGGGCATGAACTGGGTCTGCAGAAATTGCCTTGTTTCTCTTTCTGGTCAGAGAAACTCATTTTCAGACGTGTAAAAAGCACATTTTCTTTCATATCTTCATAATACCTGTGGAGCGTGGTCTGTATGAAAATATATTATATATTAAGTTATATCATATTTTTTATATATATATATATATATGATATACCTATAATTGTAATTATATAAAAATATATTTATATATAATTATATATAAGATAATTATATGTTATTAAAATATTAATGTATTAATTACTATATTAATTAATATAATATGTCTCTCTCTCTATATATATATATAGATAGATATATAGATGTATCGATATATAGGTATATAGATATATAGATATATAAAAATAGCTTTTTGGGCCCAAAGATGCAAAGGTGTTCTTGGTTCTGGGGCTGGAAAAGGATTGTTTTGTCTAAACTGTGAGGAGAACTTGCTGACACTTTATATGAAATTTAGAGTTATATACCTTTATATATATATATATAATATATATAAATATAAATAAATATAAATATAAATATAAATATAAATATAAATATAAATATAAATATAAATATAAATATAAATATAAATATAAATATACCAGTACAGAATCTGGAAAATATGAAAGTTAAAACTTCAGGCATCATGAGCATCCACTGTGGCACCTCTGAAAGGTCAAGGTGAGCCCAGTCACACACATCCTCCTCCCTTTTTCTTACAGCTGCTTCGGCCTCAAATCCCACCCTAACTCACCATCGTACTTTATCTCAGGAGAGAAAAACCAAACACAACTTTTGACATTTTTCTGGTCCAGAGAATAAATAGTTTACAAGAAAAGAAAGAATTCTGTGGGTGGCATTCAGAGATGGAGTTCTTGCAGGGGTAGCCCAGCTCCATTCCCACTCATTTCTGTGGTGGTAGAAACCCCCGAGAGGGACGTGAAGGTTCTGATGGCCCAGATACAGCTCTGGGCTGAGGAAGTGGTTTCTCCTCCTATCTGTTCCTGCCATCATCATTGACCTGACTGCTTCACCTAATCACTCCTGATGGGCCCAAAGTCATCCCTCCTGAAAATGAGCTTTTATTGAAGCTCTCCAGTCTTCCTGTGTGTTTCTAACCTGGTCACTTCCTTTAAACTTGAGAGGAACTGCAAGCAGATTTTGGGGAAAGGTTTGTAGGCAGAAGCACTTCCTTTTATTAGCCTTATTAATTCCCTTAATTAGCTGAAGCATGAGCAATTGGGTGGTGGGCAGAGTAGGAAGAAAGGGAGTTAAGAGCTGGTGGCTTTCCTGGGACAGAGACAGGCTGGAGACTGCAACAGCTCTGTCTGCAAATCCCAGCCTCTCTTTTGGGGTGACTTGTGCTTCTTAATTGGTGCTGATGGCCCTGAATTTACTTCCAGCTGTGGCATTCCAGAGGTGGAGAAGGGTTAGAGGTTATTCCTGCCCCAGCCAAGCCCAGCAAGGAAGATCCATGTGCAGTGCCATTTCCTGCTTGAGACACTTCACCCCTTTGGCAGTGTTTTATTGGGATGATATTTTAGCATCTTTTGCTGGTCAGGATGAATGCAGTAGCACTTTCCCCTGCCTGTCACCATCAGCTTCATCAGCAAAGGTTAATCCATCGCTGTGGAACTTCAGAGACTGAATCAGGATCTGGAGTCAGTAAAACCACACTGATTAGAGCAATGCTTCACCTTCATGATCACCATGAACTCTTTTCTGTTTTCTCAAGATTGCTTTCTCATTTCTAACAGCTGACAGGTTAAACTTCTGCCTAAATTGTTTCCTTTGCTGTCTCTCAAATTCATGTTGAGGAGTAATTTTACTTTCCATTCACAGTCATTTTGCTATTGTTCTTTCCACCTGGTCAATTTGGCTCATAGTTTCCCCTAACTTATATTAGCTCTTTTGCAATATCTAGTAGCTGTATTACTGGCTAGGGCTGCCCTCCTTTTGCTCATACAGTCAGATCATGGTCACTAATCCTTCAGCCCTGACCACTTCTTCAGCAATTAAAAAACTCCAGCACTTAAAACCCAGCAAGTACAGCACTTCCATCCTGTGTAATAACTCCACTGTAACTGTTTCAATATTGGGAAATGTCCATCTGAAACCACTGTAAACTCTCCCAACATTCTCCTTGGTCTCACACAAGTCCTGATGGAGATTTTCCCAGCAGCATCACTGTTCCCTTCTCCAGACCCTGCAGGGGGAAGGCTGCTGGCACCAGGTGCCAATCTCTGTTCTAACACAGCACACAGGAAAAAAAAGAGCTCAGTTTTCTCTTTTTAATCCTTTTACTTGCAGAACACTGAATTATCTAGGTGCAGCTTTAATGAATGATTGAAAAGTTCGCATCACAACTGGGTTTCTGGAGGTTTAAACTTTTATTATAATTTTTATCTCCAAAAATCAGGTGGTCCTTGACCCTTTACCCAAGGGTGCCTGTGGCAGATCAGTCCTTGAGGCCTTCAATCTTCAAACTTCAGTGTCTGCACCACATTAACCAGCAGCACAGTTGTATTTCTCAACACCAGAATAACTCCTATCGATTTGCTTCTCCCCATTCCTCCCCGGAGGAGGGATCCCATCGCTAAGAAGTGCAAACCAGAGGCTGCAAGGGAGGCCTGCAAATTCATTATTCTCTTTTCTTCTGGTTTTTGAGGATTTCTTTTTGTCCCTAGCAGGAGACAGGCATTTCCCAGCTGCTGCAGCATTGTCCCCCAGCTGTGAAGCCTGCAGACAGCCCCCGTGTGTTTGCCGCAGGGGCCGTGCCCGTGCGCACCCAGGGCTCCAGGGATGAGTGAGCCCGAGAGCCCCAGATGAGTAACCCCAGAAAAGCCAGAGGTTTCCTCTGCTCCACACACTGCAGCAGCCGTGCTCAGCAGCCTTCACAGCCTGACAGCTCCGGGGCTGTGGCTCCCTGCCCGTGTCACACTGCCAGCCCCAGGGACCCCGGCAGTGCGAGGGATGTGAGATCTGGGCAGGCTGAGCAGTCCTGAGCATCCTCCCCAGGGATGTCTGCAGTTTGCTCTCTTCTCCATCTGCCACTTTCACCAGTCCTTAGGTGAAAAATAGCCCAGAGTTTCTCCCCGTGGCACACAGACGTGCCTGGGCTCCAGGGGCACGGCTGGGGCTCCTTGCCTGCTGTATCCCCTGGGATGAGCATGAGATGGACATGGCAGGGACACTTCTCTCTGCAGCAGGCAGGAGCTCACACCAATGTGCCACTGGCAGAGCAGGCAGAAAATGCACAATCCTCACCCAAGCAGCACCAGTGGCCTCATCCTCTTCCCCTCCCTGGCTTATCAGGATGAAAGGCCAGAACATATATACACAAATATCCTGGTTCCTTCCACCCTGATTCATCCCTTTCCCCAGACAAGTCCTGGACAGTCTCAAAGGCTCTTCCCAGCATCCTGCAATGAGCTCCACGTGCTGATCACCCTCTTTGCCTGGCAGCTGGGAAGGGTTTCCCAGCTCCTCACCGAGGCAGATGCACTGAGGCAGGCGCTGTCCTCTCCCCAGCAGGCTGGCAGAGCTCACGTGTGTGAAACAGATCCTTGGAGCCCTTCATTTTCCCTCAGACAGGTCCTTCCAACAGACTCAGGGCTGCAAAGTCAGTGAGTTATAACCCAGGAATTTGATGACATCTCCATCTTGATCATTTGTCTCTTCCTCATCTTTGCTTTTTCAGAACCTACAAAAAGGTTTTTCAGAACCTTTGCTTCATAGAACCTTACAAAAATTAATTCTTTCAATTGCATCTTCAGCACAGACACAACTGAGAGCCCAGATCAGAGGGAAAGTGTTTCTTCTCCTAAGACAAGGAGAGCCTCCACCTGAGATGAGGTGGAGCCTCGCTGTGCTGGCTCTGCTTCAGAGAAAACCCCGGGCACAAAGAGCCCCAGCCCTTCTGCCTTGGTAGCTGGAGAGGCCTTCAGCCTGCAAAAAAATAAACACAACACAACATTTCAGGTCAAAAACAGAAGGGAAAAAAAAAAATAAATAAAACCAACAAGTCTCAGCCTTTCTTTTGCAATTCTGAGCAACTTTTGGTGCCAAGAACAACAAGAGATCTGTGCTTTTTCCCAGGAAATGCTTTCAGTGCGTGGGGGGTGCTGAGGGGGCCGCAGCCGGCGGCAGCAGCGCCTGCCTTCCACTGCTCCCGTCCAAGCAGCCTGGGGAGGAGGTCACACATGTGTCCTGCCCCATGGGGATGCAGTTCCACACTGATCAGATAAAACCCCAAGCAGTGACTCAACACGTGGATGTGTTTTCTTTGAAACTCGAGCAAGACGGGCGAGCGGCGAAGGCGCATCCGAACTCGCCTGGGGTGTTTGAGCCGGGCCCTGAGGGGCTCCCCCAGAGCCTGGATCCTTTCCTCACCCTCAGCTTGTGCCACCTCTCCTGCACATCAGCTGGGAGGGAGCTGAATCACAGAAAGCTCTTGGAGGAGGCAGCCCTGCCTCGAGGTGCCCTCTTGGCCTGCTCCCCCGGCTCTGGAGGAGCCCCTTGCTGTCCCCAGTCAGTGCCAGCACAGTGCAGGATGTCTCTGCCTGCCATGACTCAACTAGGTCACCAAGTGACAGGGCAGGGAGGCAGCGGGGCTTTCTCAGCTCTGAATGCCACAGGCTCTCATCTGTGACCTTCTCCAGGCCTGCTCTGAGGAGGTGGTGGGGAATGTGCCCGCGCTCGGGCTCGCTCTTGCACATGCCCTTGGCACTGAAAGCTGTGTCAGTCCTGCTGGGAGCTCTGGGACAGAGGGGAAGGCAGGCCACTGCCCCCAGGCTGAGATGGTGGGTCGTGGTAGGAGACCCAGCTGTGACCTGCCATCAAACCTCAAACGCTTTGGGCTGTGCTTTGCCCATCTTTCGGGTAAAAGATTCTCCCGGTGTATTTTCTGCTCCCTCTGCTGATTTTTCTGTGGTTACATTAATCCTGGCAGGCTGATTTTGCTAATGGATAGAAGCATTTGTGGTTATGACTCACGGGTAGTTGCACACTTGCCATCTACAAAATCCACGCAGATCTGGGCAGAGGTGTTGGTTAGGGCTGGAAAATGAAGCCCCTGTGGCTGCCCATGGCACGCACACTTGTGTCAAGGTTGTGATATCCTCAGCCCTGTCTGGAATGAAGGAGAGACTTTTAAAATCACATCATGCCAGCAGGAGTGTCTGAAGAGCTTCCTTGTGGTCCCTTTGCTTTCTAGCATTAGATATGGGTTTAGGCTTAGGTTTAGGCTTAACTGCAAAAAAATCAGTTTTGGGTTGGTGGGGGTTTTTTTTCTGGAAAAAGTCTTCTGGTATTGGGTGGCTGAACAAAGCAGAAGAAAAAAAGAAAAAAAGAAAAAGTCCCAGAGAATTTCAGCTGGTAACAGATGGTGCAGAGTGCATAGCGCCAGGAGCAGTGCACCCTGCAACACCATCAACACTGCAATGACTTGGGCAGGAGATGGGGTGGAAAAACTGAACCTGCTCAAGTCAGCTGGAAGTTTTTAGGTGGAGTGTGCTGCCTCCCAGGAGCCCACCACAATGGGCAGCACAGCCACCCCTGCCCTAGAGCCACATCCCAGTGCAAAACCAGCAGAGAGACCCTGGGATGGGGAGAGCAGGGGTGGAGGGAAAATTCCAGCCTCTGAAATGGAGATGGCTGGGTGTCCTTGAGCTGAAATGAAAGCCAGGGGGTTGTGGGGCTGCCAGAGAGACACAGGCAGGCCAGGAGCTCTGCCAGTCTCTGGCTAACTCTGGCTGCATGTACAAAATCCCACTCCTGAGCAGAGTGACCACTGAAAGCGTTGGCAGAGGTGCAGACACAGAGCCTGGGAGCCCCTTCATCTGATGTTCCCTAAGGCTGGGGGAGCTGGCATGGCTCAGCCTGCAAAGGAGACCTGGAGCAAGCCTGAGAAAGATTGAGGGAAATTTTGTAAGGATAAGGGAGGAATGGCTTCTGTTTGGGCTAGATATTAGGAAAAAAAATTTTTATGAGGGTGGAGAGGCACTGCTAAAGGTTTCCCAGAGGAGATGTAAATGCCCCTTCCTAGTCTTGGAGGAACCTGGTCTAGTGGGGTTGGAACTGAAAGGGCTTTAAGGTCCCAAACCAAACTATTGCAGGGTTCTAAGGCAGACACCCAGAGCCAGGAGATGCCAACTGGTCCCTTCTGCCTCAGCACAGTCATCTGTCTCATCTCAAGCTGAGCAGGGGGTTTTGATGCTGGGACCTGTGGGTTGGTGTCTTTCCTTCTCCCCATGCGGAGTTCTTTGTAGGTTTTCAATAACACAGGATGCATGTAGTCCAATCTGGGGTAAAAACGTGCTCCTAAAGGCTGTGATTTTCCCAAAGTCAAAGCAACCCAGTGCTAGCATCCTCAAGGCTTTTGAAATCTTGAAAGATGAAAAAGCAAAACCCCACCTGTCAGATGCTGACAGTCTTCTGGGGCAGAGGGTTTCTCTGTGCTGGACACCAGCTCCTGGAGAGGAGCCGTGTCCCAGTGCTGTCCTCACCCTGAGGTCACCTTCAAAGCCTGTGAGGAACCCCAGCCCTGCTCTGAAGCCTCAGAAAGGAGTCAGGCAGCTGAGGGAATTGTCCATGCCCAGCCAGAGCTGCCTTGGAGGATCAGAGAGCTGAGAGCATCTGAGCTGCAGCTCTTTGACACCACGGGCACCTGCTGTCTCAAACCACAAATTGCTTGGGCACATCTTATTTTTGAGCAGCCCTTGCCCTCTGTCTCTGTGCTTGCTGGCTTTCATGAGAGCTGAAGAGTAACAAGCTGATTTCCCCAACAAGCAGCTTTGCTGTGCAGGGAGCAGGGAGGGATTTCCCTGGAGCCATAAGGCAGAGATGCCCCCAGAAAAACAGAGTGGCAGGGGAAGCCCTGGAGTGAGCCCTGAGTGCCACAGAAACCTGCTCTCCCCTCTCCTCCCCACACATCCAGAATTTTATGGTTTTCTTTTAGACCTCTTCTCAAGCTGATGCCTCCTGGGCACAAAAAGTCTCTTGGCAGTCTGCTGTGTGCCAGGTAATCCAGGAAATAATCAGCTTAGACAAATGTAGTGAGTGCTGAGTGCCCCATGGCATCACCTGTGGCTGTGAAAGCTTGGCAGGGCCGGGTGGCTTTGCTGGGCTGCCTGTGCCACCCCCTGGCTCAAAATCAGCACAAGCTGGGAAATCTTGGGACCATTTCATCAGCTTCCCTCAGCTTCTGGTGACTGGTGAATGAAGCGTGATTTGCTTCACTCCAGGTCGTGTGGGAGGAGTGGAGGGAATGAAATTAATGAAGTGGATTTCAGGCTACTGACAGCTGGAAAGGCAAGGTGTCAGGGTTAGGGCTGCCTGTTTGGGGAGCCAGGTCACTGCCAGCATGATTTACTCACTTTAATGTGAGATTTAATGTGGGAGCAGCGTTTCATCTGCTCTCTGGGCCAGCACTCAGCATCAGGCTGCGTGGCCCAGCCGCTGCTGACTCCTGGAGAAATAATTCTGCTTTTCTCAGGTTTCCCGTGCATTCCTGCAAAATTAATTCCTTTGAGCTTCTCTCAGGCAGGGCCAAGCTGAAGTCTGGACTTTCTGATCTTAAAGGTCTTCTCCAAGCTGAATGGTTTGCACACAAGCTGCCCAAGAGGAGATAAACTGCAGGAAATGAGCTCACAGCGAGGCAGTGGTGGGAGGGCAACTGCTCTGTCATGCATCTCCCATATGAGATGCATGTGGTCCCTACTCGTGGGTGCAGAGCCCTCAGAGAAGCTTTTAGCTGGCTGCACTTTCCCTTTTTCAGCCCTTTTCCCCCCAGGCATCCCCACTCTCACTTCCAGCTCTCCCCACACACGTGCAGCAAAGTCCTGGGGGCTGCACAGGACCAGAGATGGGCTGTGGGAGTGGGCCAGGGGGAAATTTTCCGTGCAGATATTTGCATTTTCTCGGGCTTTGGAGAAGCATTTCCCACCACTTGTGGCTGCCCAGGGGCTGGGAGAGCACCTGGCAGGGGGGAGCCTCAGCAGGGCCCACAGGGGTGAATCTCCTGTACCCTTGTGGTTCCGTGGCCCACCGAGATGAATCTGAGCTCGAGTGCTCAGCAGGACAGGATGAGTCCTGCAGTCACGAGGGAGCTCTCCCTCATTTATGACCAATCCTGGAAAACTGGGAAGGCCCCAAATGACTGGAGGTTGTCCAGTGTGAGGCCCACCCACAAGAAGGATGTGGGGAAGGACAGGCCTGTCAGCAAAGCCTTTGGCACCGTCTCCCAGAGCATTCCCTGGAAAAGCTGCAGCCCACGCCTTGGACAGGAGCACTCTTGGCTGGGTTAAGAGCTGGCTGGGTGGCCAGGCCCAGAGAGTGATGGTGGGCACTGCTGCACCCAGATGGCCTCCAGGGGTGTTCCCAGGGACCAGTGGGTCTTGCCCTGGAGGAGGCTCAGGGTGACCTTATCACTCTCTACAGCTGCCTGAAAGGAGACTGGAGCCAGGCAGGGTTTGGCCTCTTCTCCCAGGTCACTTGTGACAGGACAAGAGGACACAGCCCTAAGCTGTGCCTGGGGAGGTGGGGGTTGGACACTGGGAGGAATTTCTGCACAGAAAGGGACACTGGAATGGGCTGCCCTGGGAGGTGCTGGAGTCATCACCCCTGGAGGAGTTTGCAGCCTGGACAGGGCGCTCAGTGCCATGGGCTGGGGCATGGCTTGGACTCGCTGGTCTCAGGTCTTCTCCAACCAAATGACTCTGGAACTCTGTGGCAAACACTGCAGGAGGAGGCACACACAGATCTTACTTACCCAGACACCACCAAATCCTCTCTGTTACTCCATGGACTGTGTTCCAGCCCAGCAAGGGGAAAGCAGCATCCTCGTGCCACGTGAGATGCCAGACCCCCTCCCCAGGCAAGCTCCTAACTGGGGCACTGGGACGTGCCAAGGGCACACATCAGCCTTCGTGCTTGAAGGGTGATGGGCT